TATTATCATCATGTTGCCTGTGAAGTCCTTGTTTCTATAGATTGTCTCTGTAAATTTCTGTTGTATATCACTCTTGGGGTCTTTCTCCTTTTATAGAAACCCCCTTAGTACTTCTTGCAGGACTGGCTTAGTGGTCACATATTCTTTCAGTTTCTGCTGGTCTTGGAGGCTCTGCATCTCTCCATCCATTCTAAGTGACAGCCTTGCTGGATAAAGCATTCTTGGCTGCATGTTCTTCTCATTTAGCACCTTACAAATGTAGTTTTAGTTATACTTTTGACATGTAACCACATTGTCAAAGATCATGTAAAGTACTAGTTCAACTTGCACTTCCTACACAGGAACTTGACATTATGGTCATTAATAATTAGTTATAAGCAGCATTTCCCCCCTTCACCTGCCTTCAAGGGTGATTCCATTATTATTGCCTTAGAAATGAAACAGGCTATTAATTGCTTACAGACTTGAGGGGATGTGCAAAATGCAGACTTGTAGCTTAGTGATATGATCACATAATATGGGAATATGATTAACTTGAATTCTTGGATTTGGAACCATGCTGAATTTTGTGCTGAAATGTATACTTTCCATCTCTAATGCCTATATGTGAATTTTAAATAATTTTGCTCAGTGTCTATACATTATGTTTACATATTATACCTTTGTGTTTCTATATATATTATTTATTATCCTAGACTGCAATTTTCTCAGCTAGGGACTATGTCTAATTAATTTTTTATCCTGAGTCTTAGCCTGGTGTTTGGCTAAGCTTCATCCTTGCACTTCTGGACTTATTTCACTTGAAAGAACTTAATCCTTAATATGTTTGAATATGTCACTTAAAATTCATTTCATCTGAGAGTGACTTTGCTCTAATTTGCTGGTATGCTTTGACCAAGATTTATTCTGAATCCAATTATGAATGGGGAGGAACTTCAGAAGTTGAAAAGAGAGTTCTTTCTTCTTCAGTGGCTGTTTTTTGGGAGGGAGGGCTAAGTTAAATAATAAAGCGTGTACTTTAGAGGTTTTAGAAGTAAAAATAATTTTCTCTGACAGCTATGAAAATATAGGAGGGTGGGAATATAGAAAACAGAAACAATCTTGGGCTTTGGTGGCAAAGTGATTATATAAGTTGAGACACAGAGGAAAATGATGAGAACGGGGGAACTGCTCAAGAGAGTCATGACTTCCTTTTCTGTAGAGTTTAGGGAATACTCAAGAAAGAGACAGTTATTTACGTGGTATTTATAAATCTTTTGATTTATTAAGTAAAACTTATGCCCATCTTCTCATGTCACATTGGTTAGTTTCCTGCTCTTTGATTGCAGGGTTTTCCACCTGGGTTCTTTCCATTAAAGACAGACCTTGCACTTCCGCAATTCACTGATCACTGGGTCCCTAACACTTTTCACTTTTGCTTTGAATAACATTTGAAGATCCTGTGAGTGAGTAAAAGAATATTGGGCTACTGACATTGTATGTTGTGATTTTGAAATGAGGATGAAAAAAGACCCTGGTGGTCATGCTTGAGGATGAGTTCTGGACTCCAGAGCTCAGTGTTCTCAAAGGCAGGGAGGGTTGCCTATGGTGAGAGAGAGGAGAAGGAATCTTGGAATCTTCCCTTTCCTGGGAAGGCAAGTCTTAGAAGTGAGTCTAGGGGAGAGAAAACAAATGTTTGAAGGGAAATTAAAAAAAAATAGAAATCACTAGCCAATGCTTTAAGTTGGAATTGTTATTTGAGACTGCCCCCAAGTTAGTGAGGGTGAGAGCAGAGGGTGTCCACTCGTCAAGTTTTGATTTTATATCATTCCATGGCATTCTTTTTAGATGTTATAAAGCTCTGTGTAGATGTAATTCCCCAAGGCCAGGAAAAGTAGCTCTCTCCAACCTAGCATCACCTCTAGGGTTTCTCTCTGAGTTTGTTGGGTCCACTTGGACACTGATGATTTTGTATAAGGTCATGAAATTTATTGATAATGATTCAATGTGTGATAAAGAGACCTATATTTAAGGACTATGAATCTTCTCTGGATCTGTATGCCTGCCAGAAATAGGATCATGCTGTTCTGTTTCCTAGCTCGTATAAGAAATATAAATATGGAGATTAACACTTTACTTTCACACAGTCACTACTGGTAGAACTGGTGGTAGAACCATCTGGTTCCACATGTATATATGTTTTCTCCTACTTTCTTTGAATGATTACTTGGAAGAAACTAGAGATTGACCAAAAGGCAAGGATTAGTTTTCATTTTTTATGATAGGAAATTCAGTTAAAAATAACCTACTTTTGAACAAAGTGTCATTATTGTCTATGGCAAAAGACAATAATTGTCATATTAACGATGGCCATGCCTAGTGGATTTCAAACCCACCTCCTGCGGGGTTTTTACTAATCAGACTCAGTCTCTGGCATTTGCATGTTGAAGTTACAGACTGTTCTGGAATGTATTTTAGTAGGAGAAAAAGAATTTACTTCTAAAAGTTCTTAACATCTTTAAAAGCAGTTTACTAACTTGAGTGACTTGGAAGGAAATTAAGAAAAAAATGAGAGTGAACCTCTTTACTTTGAAAAGCAAAGGAATGAGAATAGAATATTTTTTTCTGACAAAAGTTGTGGTAAATCCAGTCATGTGGGATGCTGGCTGGACCACATTTGTGACATTTGGCTGTTGTAAGTGTCTGGCTAGTGAAAATGGCAGAAAAGAGCAAAACAACTAAGAACAGGCAAATACTCATTTCAGGTGTGACTCTGCAATTGCTTGTCATGTAATTAATTGCTTAAAAGAGTGTCATGACTTCAGACAAACAGTCCTAAGTTTCAGTCCTGCTCCATTACTTGGTAACTGTGACTTTGGGAGAGTACCTATTTCATGTCTTCATATATAATCCTCATTCGTAAAATGGGGAGAATAGAATAAGGTCAAACCAGATGAAATTGCTATTTTTTTAAAGGTAAAAAATGATTACATATTGGCAAGTTCATATGATTCAACCTAATAACTTCTACTTCATGGGGTTATTGTGAGGATTAAATGAGAAATGCATATAAAATGCCTGGCACACTGCTTAGCTCATAGTAAGTGCTCAGTAGATGGTGGATATTATTATCCTTAAGCAAATCACATTATTATTTTCAATATAATCACACTCAAAATCCTATTTACTTACAAACTTACATATCAAAATTTAAATCCGGGCGCCTGGGTGGCTCAGTCGTTAAGCGTCTGCCTTCGGCTCAGGTCACGATCCCAGGGTCCTGGGATCGAGTCCCACATCGGGCTCCCTGCTCTGCGGGAAGCCTGCTTCTCCCTCTCCCACTCCCCCTGCTTGTGTTCCTGCTCTCGCTGTCTCTCTCTCTGTCAAATAAATAAATAAAATCGTTAAAAAAAAAATTTAAATCCAAGCTATTAATTTACTAGAATACAATGAGAGAGGGCAAAATGATTTTTTCTTGTAAACATTTGCAAGGCAATTACTGCACAGGCAGGAAATGCAAAATGGGTGAGAATACAGTCTGTAGTCTGTGTCTTTTTGTGTCTGATTTCCCTCAGTAAGCATAGTGTTTTCATAAGTAAGGTTCATCCCTGTTGCATTATGTATCAGTACCTTGTTCTTTCTATTGCCAGATAATATTCTATTGTATGGACATACCCCATTTCGTTTACCTTTGATTAGTTGATGGACGTTTGAGTTGTTTCCACTTTGGGGCTATTATGAATAATGCTGCTATGAACATTTCTGCACAAAAGAACATATTGTATGATTCCATTTGTAGGAAATGTCTGGAGTAGGCAAATTCATAGAGAGAGGAAGTGGATTAGTGGTGGCCAGGGCTGGACGTGGGGGAAGGGAAATGGGGGGATGACTGCTGCCGGGTTTCTTTTCTCAGTGATGAAAACATTCTAAAACTAGACAGTGTGATGGTTGTGCAATCCTGTGAATATGTTGAAGACCACTGAATTTTGCACTTCACAAGGATGAATTTTACAGTGTGTGAATTATGTCTCATTAAAGCTGTTATTAAAAAAAAGGTGAGAAACATTTACACGTTTACCCCATAAAGAAAGAGAACACCTGATGATTTATGCAGTTTATTGTCATAAGGAGAGGCATTCTGCCTTGAGAAGGGTTTCACTAATTTTGCATTTCATCTACTCCCACTTCAAGATAATGTGCTTCATTCTTATTCTGCTCAGCATTTGTGATTGGAGCCTGACTCTCAAATTATTCGAATAGCTGAGTTGAGTTTTAAAAGACAATGGAGGGGCGCCTCGGTGGCTCAGTCGGTTAAACGTCTGCCTTCGGCTCAGGTCATGATCCCAGGGTCCTGGGATCAAGCCCTGCATCGGGCTCCCCGCTCAGAGGGGAGTCTGCTTCTCCCTCTCCCTCTGCCTGCCGTTCTGCCTACTTGTGCTCGCTCTCTCTGTGTCAAATAAATAAATAAAATCTTAAAATAAAATAAAATAAAAGACAATGGAAAAAATGCAGATATAACTTCTAGGAGGATTGTACAAATATCAAAAATCCAATGAAATTAACCAAGAAATTGGCTCATTTAAGAATCCAAGGGCCCCTGAAAGGAGATTTTGCAATTCAGAAACAGGAAAAATTAGAGAGAGCAGTTTATGTGCAATTTTCAGGGATTCTTCTGCTCCGTGAGGTTTAGTGTAAATCAAATGTGCTGTAATTTTCAGGAACATTAACGAATTGATATTAGGTGGTCTCCAGCTTATAATTAATGTGTTTCATCGTAAAAAGATGGTGGTAATGATATTTTAAATGTCTTAGTGCTCATTGGATTTCATTTTTGTAGGTAATTTGCAGCTCCTCTGAGTAAAACAATTTATATTCAATTACAGAGACTGATAAATGGGCTTTTGTCCCCTTCTGATTACCACAAAGCACTAATGGTGCTGTCTGATGGCTGCTTTCTTATAGGGAGCAAAAATTATAGCTACATTTCTTTCACACCCTCAGCAGCATCTCCAGGTAGCTGTTTACAAATCTTCTTCCACCTCTTCGGTTTTACATGACACAACCTTGCCGTCCACTTCTTCCACGACTGTTGTAATCTTCTTTTTTCTCTTTATATCTGAGTTTAGATTTAAGTATGAAATGTTAACTCAGGAACATGACTCTGTGGGTCTATAACATTCAACTCTAAATCATTATTATTTTATACATATTTTTTTCCTAAAAGAAAAAGAAACCCATTCTTTTTCTTAAATAATCTTGTCCAAATTATAAACAAATGCAGAAAATATGCCACTGTCCCCAAATTCACAAATTTTCTATGCCCACCCCCAAAGAGAAATATACAATATTGAATTAAGCCAAATGCACTTTTTCATCTTATTTTTTTTCTTTTCAGGATCCCAGGATGTCTCAGGACAGCAATAGCTTGGGCCAAGAAAGTCACCCTGTTGTGGGAGTGTGACAAACTTTCCATGTTGGGGGTTTATGTAATGTGCCTGATTTTCAGAATCCCTAGGGTAGTATCTGCTCCCTTGAGAACTGATCTCTATTTACTTTTCACCAGTGGCATTTAATAAGTGGTAAGTTACCGAGTGAGGAGTTAGTCTCACAGGAAACACGTGAGATTAGAACACTTACTTCTCTCGTCCAGGATGCTTATCGCAAGTTCTGGAGTTCTGTTTTTTTTTTTTTTTAAGAAAAGAAAAAGAAACAGGAAAAAGTGTTATTGCCATGTTGAAAATGAAGGGCTGTCCTGCATTTTCTGTTTCAAAACAAAGTCTGTGTGATGTGTGTCTTAATGCTGTGTTTGTATTTTTTCTGCTTTTACCATGCTTGTTACTTTGAACTTGAGTTTCTTACTTTTCAACTTGACATATTATTTTATAACTATCTATTTATCTATCTATCATCTATCATCATCTATCTATCTATCTGTATCTTCAAAACTGACCTATTTACACTATACTAGAAGCTTTTGTAATTAAAATAACAAAATTACAGTGGAAGTTTAAATCTTGTGTTCTCTTATTGAGTTTCTTGGGTGTGGTAGTTGAAGACAGTTTCTGTGGCAACAGTGATGATTCTCAAACTGGTTCCCACAGACCTCTGTGGCCTGTTCATTTCATGACCTCTCAAGGAGAATTTCTAAAAGTCATTGTACTTCCAATTATGTATTAATCATAAAAATTAGCAAAAGCATAATCTGTATTGTTTACTGTATAACCATCTTCTAAGTCAGCCCTACACATGACCTCAAGTACAAAGGCTGTACCTGGTATTTTGGGGATGGGCATACTTTTGGTATATTTTTGTTTTGTTGTTGGTGGTTGGTGTGTGTAATTGCTTTTGTGCTAGGGATTGCATTGGTGCTGGGGAATGAGTGCCAGGGTTTAATGCACAGCATGTAGGCAGTGGCACATATTCCTTGATTCTAAGAGCCTTACTTGACAGCATCTTCTCCTTCCAGAAGGCGGCGGTAAGTAGCAATTTCCTGCTCAAGCCGGGTTTTTATGTCAAGGAGGATATTGTATTCGTTGCTCTGGCGTTCTGTATCGGTCCTAATCTGTTTCAGTTGGCCTTCTAGGTTGTCCAGTACTGCCTGGATGGTGACCAATTTGCCACTGTAACGATCTTTGGTGTCCTCTAGTGTACGCTCCAAAGTTTCTTTCTATAAGCACAAGAAAAAGTGGATGTTTCTTAGTGGAAGACTTAAGAGGTGGTTCAATTTTAATTTCTTTTGAGGAGAATTCCCACAGCTAGTCACTGTGAGCATAATTCATATTTCTAGCTTTATCTCCCACTCTTTCCATCTAGGCGACCTCAGCCAGCTGCTAGGACCACCAGCTCCTGAGCCCCAGCCAGCTGCTATGACCTCTAAGGGTCTTTTGTTTGTTTTTAGCTTCACACTCACTGTTCTCTTACTGTGGTACATTGTATTCTAGTTCTCCGTATTTACCTCCTCTCCCTGTGATTTGTGGTGCCCCTCCAAGGGGAGGATTAGATTTCCTCATCCCACTGATACCAGATTTGGTCATGTGACTTCCTCAGCTAATGAAAGGTAGGTAAAACTGACAAGTGCCTTTTCTGAGGAGAAGCTTTAGGAGCTATCAGATGGTCTGGCTATTGCTCTTTTGTTTCTGCTATAACACTGGCATGCCCTGGCCGGGGTCTCCTCCCTCAGCCTTACCCCCTGGAATTGAATGTCATGGAGCAGAGCTGCAGGCGATGGATGGATGATGGATGTAGTGTTGTAGTTTTGTTGTAAGCCACTGAAATTTGGGGGTTGTTAACACAGCATAATTTTATCAGGAGCTGACTGATTTGTTTAGCCTGCAAACTGATTTGTTTACCCCTATTCTCCAACTACAAATTCATCTCAAGTTTTCCGATCTAGTTGAAATGCCACTTTCGGTGTGAAGTCTTCCAGATCTACTTGTTCCTCTGCATCCTTGCAGCACATTGCTCTTGTCCTGGATTTCTTTCTGTGTTTCAATTATAGTCAGTGGCTTGGCCTGTCTCCCTGCCAGCTCTGCAGGGAGAGGGGTTATTTCCTAGAGGTTTCTGTATCTCCAGAATTCCTCACACAGGCACTTAGTAAACACACACTGCGTTGAGAGTAGGAAGTTAGACGTGTTTTACCAGACTGAGGAGGGACTGGAGTTCTATCTCCAGGTTCTGGTAGATGCGTCTCAGCTCCTTTACTTGAGCCTCAGTTTCTTTTAACTCTTCATTGCTCACTGTGACTTGTTGCTGCAGAGTTTGAGTCTAAAGTTCCAAAAATGAAAAAAAATAAATGAGTAAGGAGAAAGAGAAAGGAAAGAAAATGAGTTATCTTTTTTTGAAGGACAGCTTCTACACATTTGCTTACCCGTCAGAATTATGTTATTACCTGTTTCTCAAACTGTTCTTTGGCCTTCTGAAGATTCTCCTGGGCTATCACTTCATACTTCTGCCTCATTTCATTCATGGTGGTGCCAAGGTTCAGGCCTGGAGCAGCATCCAATTCTACAGTGACAGTATTGCCCAGGTGTCTGTATAGGCTGTCCACTTCCTACAAAAGTAAAAATCCTGATTATAGTCTGAAGCACATTCTCACGTGAGGCTAAGTAGAAAAGACATAAGTCTTATGGCTTCTTTCATTGGGGATGAGTAAAAAAGAAAGACAGTAACTTAGGTAGGGCTTATTCTAGTCTAGGTACTGCTCTGTCATTGAACCCTGACCGCTCACACCATTATTATTGTCATTTTCTTTACCAGCCTCCCCCCCCACCATTATCATTATTAGAGTCATTCTGTCATTCCCAACACCACTTCTGAATATTTCCTCACCTCCTGATGTTCTTTTTTGAGGATATCCAGGTCTTTACTCAGTTCTTTAAGTTGAATCTCCAAGTCTGTTCTAGTCATGGATAGATCACCCAAGACCTTATTCAGGCCTTGGATATCACTCTCCGCTATTAGGCGTAGCTCCCTTTCAGTCTCATACCTGTGAATTAATTGGTATGCAGAGATAATTGAGTCCTTTTGAAGCCATTATAGAAGACAGAATCTTAATATAATGAGATGTTTTTATGTGGTATATGAGGATCTATTTCAATACACTGTGTCCCTCTTTATTTTTTTTAAATTCTACCAGATATTTATTTATTTATTTATTTATTTATATCAGTTCAGTTAGCCACTGTATAGTACATCATTAATTTTTGATGTAGTGTCCGTCAGAAAGGATGAATACCTATCATTTGCATCAACATGGATGGCACTGGGGGGGTTATGCTAATTCAAGTAAGTCAAGCAGAGAGAGACAATTATCATATGGTTTCACTCATATGTGGAGCTTAAGCAATAGCATGGAGGACCATAGGGGAAGGGAGGGAAATCTGAAGGGAGAGAAATGAGAGAGGGAGATGAACCATGAGAGACTATGGACCCCAGGAAATAAACTGAGGGTTTCAGAGGGGAGGGGGTAACAGGGTGATGGGTATTAAGGAGGGCACCTGTTGTGATGAGCACTGGGTGTTATACATAATTAATGAATCACTGAACACTACATCAAAAACTAATGATGTGTCCCTCTTTATACATTCCAAAAATGTTCATGAGAACCTAGGAATCAGATAATTTGCTCCATAATATAATCTTTGTAATTTGGAGTGATTGGTAAAAAAGCAATCTGAAATAACTCTTAAATGTTTCTAAATTCTAGAATATATTTTAAAAGAAATAAAAAATATTTTGCTTTAATTAATGTGTCAGCAAAAGATTCTCATTATAGATATTAAATAATGGTTAGTTATATTTACTTAATGAATACGCACGATCAATTTACTTTTATTACTTTGTAAGCAGATGCATCAAAAGTGAATTATTGTAAAGAATTCATGATTCTCCCCTACAATCTTACATATTCTCATTTTTATTAAAGTAGCAAAACTTTAAAAAATGATATTGCAATGGCATATTCAGGTGCTGACTTAGTAAAATTGGAATTAATAATGTTTACTGCTTTAATCTTCAGATCTGCTTTCCTACCCTTCTAAACCACAAAAGACTTTTTAGTACCAACGCATTGTACACATTCAGAATAAGAAAGCCCTAGCGTAGGGGCCATTTATGAGGAACAGCTGTGATCATATGTGGTGTGATATGGTTACAAGAGAGTGAACACAATCTGAGCTGGTTTAATCATAGTCTTAGTTATTTGGTTTGTCAGACTCTATCATAAAACACCAGCAAACTCAGAAGCATCAAAAGTCGCCCCCTGGAACTTGGGCCATATACTTGGCAGGCACTTGAAGGAGCATGGATGACTCACTTGGAGAATCACCACACGTAGACACATGGCTCACTTTAGATAACAGAAGGGCACTACTGCAGATGGGCAGTTGTATATCACTTTGGTATTACTCCAAAGGGCAGAATTAGGTTCAGTGGGCGAAAAGGTAGATGTGAGGTTACTAAAAAAGAGTGGTCTAGCAGCCAGAGCTAACCAGTAGAAAACAGTAGTAGTTACTGGAGGTGTTCAGTTACACGCTGGGTGACAAAATGTTAGGAATGTGGGAGAGGGAAGTGTAGCCCTGAGTGCTGGGCTAGACCAGATAGCTCCTAACACCCTTCAAACTCCCAGATTCTGAAATTACTTAAGGTAGCTCCTTTACCAACAAGAATGTGGAAAGCTGAGTGTCATGAAGGACTACTACAGGGAATCCCTTTTCAGGAAGGTTTACCACGGTGTTAGAACCTACTTCAGCTTGAAGTCCTTAGCAGCCAGTTTGGTATTATCAATTTGCAGGACACAATGTGTATTTTCCAGTTGTGCATTTTTAATCTGGAAAATATATGAGAAAGAATGACATTTTCAACTGGACAGGAGTTTCAAATGATTGAGTGTATCCTCAGATACAAACATTATTCCATCAAAGATGATGTTTATTTCAAGAATTTCCACATGAAAATAGGAAGAGTGATGATATGGCCGTTTAACATAATTGAGTCATAAAATGTACCTCTGGTCTCCAGGGTTTGGTGAGCTTTCTTACGGTTTTACAAAAGGAAAATTTCATTCAACTTGAGCCATCAAACCCCACTGAGTGCCTTCCCTTTGATGTTCCTGCTTAGAATATTCTTGTTAGCCCTTCTCGCTTGGTGAACTACTTCTCTTCCACATTTTGCCTTAGATATCTGCTTCAAGGAAGCCTCAATGAATTCCTCAAGGCAGAACTGGATGAACTGCCTGTGTTTTCAGTGCTCTACACAGCCCTCCTTGCTAGAATTTATCCCTCTGTGTGGGAGGTATGTTGCCTTTGTGCCTATTTCCCCCCTAAATCACATTATGTTCACCGTCATATTCCCCAATGCCCAGCATGGGGCCCAGCACTTGGTATGTACTAAATATTGGCTGAATGAATGGACAACTGCTATGTGAGAGTTGTGCTAGGCACTGGAGCTGTCAGGATGGATAAGCTCTCGATCTTAAAAACAGGGTTACCTAAGGGTGAGTTCTCTATGATGTATGTGGATCTTCTCTGCTTGTAGAAGATGTTACAATGACATGTCTCTTTCAGCAGATCCAGTCCCAGAGAGAGCTGCCTTCATATACTGAGTCTGCCCTGCTAAATGGAATAGATGGCTGTGTCTATGTGTTTGGGCTGATCCAAAGTAGACTCAGAAACATGAATCATGAGACAGGTAGGGAAGAATGGTTTGCTGATTTTGAATGTTTTTAGTGGGAGCCTGAGAAGAATGACCTTTTGGCAGAAAGACAATTTAGACACCTTTGCCTCACCTCCCCATAGTTCCTGAAAGCCCCAAAGTAACTTCCAGTGGAATCTGGTTCAAATTGCACTGATGTCTAATAAAAACGCAAGGAAAAGAGACTTGCTGGAAAGGGATTCTTTCCTTGATGAGATAAGAATTTGAAAGCAGAGCAAGTGCTCCTGTCATATTTGAACTTTTCAATTAGGAGCAAAGTCCACTTCCTTTATTGCACACAATTGATAAAACAGAACTCCACCTTCCGTGGGAGTGGATTGTGATATGATTGCAACAATTTTGAATTGGGGGCAATAGAACATTTTGTTACTGTAGAAGTGGTTTGTGAACTGCTTGTGATGATGATGGTATCATTAAACAGGGCATTTAAAAATCTGGATGTCGTTCAGGCATGTGGGTGGCTCAGTCGGTTAAGCAGCTGACTCTTTAATTTTGGCTCAGGTCATGATCTCAGGGCCCTGGGATTGAGCCCTGCATAGGGATTCGAGCTCAGCAGAGAGTCTTCTTGATATTCTCTTTCTTCCTTTGCCCCTCCTCCTGCTCTCTCTCTCTCTCTTTCTCACAAGTAGGCAGAGCGGCAGGCAGAGGGAGAGGAAGAAGCAGACTCCCTGTTGAGCAGAGAGCCCGATGTGGGGATTGATCCCAGGACTCTGGGATCATGACCTGAGCCGAAGGCAGACGCTTAACCGACTGAGCCACCTAAGTGCCCCTCAAATAAATAAATCTTTAAAAAAATCTGGATGCCATTAATACTTACATCTCTTCCCCTTATTTCCATGCTGACTCACTTTGTCATTGAAATTTATGATATAGTATCTTAATACTTATATTACAATGTTTACATAAATTAAAGGAGGAACATCTCTAAGTTGACTGGGAATTCAAAAGTTAATGAGAACCAGGTGAAAAAAACCTGAGATTCATAATCACATAAAAATTTTAGCTCTTTTCAGAGAAAAAAATATTTACTATCCAGTTAGACTTGTCCTGGTAAACTGACAAAAATACAGATTATATTTTCATATTTTCCATGTAATTAGATTTTTAAAAGTGAAAAAAATATTTACAGTCATCTAATTATGTAGTCAGCTACTCCAGCACTAAGGATAGATGGTAGAATGTACCATTTTATAGATGTAGCATTTCAGCCTAATTGCTTTATAACATCCGTTTGGACCCACCTAACATACATGCTTTCTTGGTATATATCCTGCAGCTCAACAGTGGAGTAGAAAACACAGGTGTCATCCCTTACCTGATTTTGCAGCTCTTCTATTTGTTGGTAATATGCACTGTAGTCCCTGGTGCTGGGCGTGTTTGTTTCATACCACTGCTTGATCTGCCATTCAAGTTTGGAATTGGACTGTTCCAGGGACTGCACTTTTTCTAGGTAGCTTGCTAGGCGTTCATTTAGGTTCTGCATGGTCATCTTCCCATCACCAACAAACAGGTCTCCTTTGGTGAGATCACTCCCATAGTTCATCATGTGTCTGGAGTTTGAGATGCGGATGCTCTGACCTCCAGCTCCCCCATAGACGCTGGGTGCAGCCGTGAAGTGCTGTGTGCCCCCGTTCCTATACATGGAGCCACTCATGCTGAGTGCAGAGCCCTGTGAGGAGCAACTCAAGCCTCTACGGAGGCTTCTGCGAGTGAATTCCATTGGGAATTTTAGGAGGGAGCACCTGTAGCTTCTGGATGGCTGGAGCAGTCTGTCTCCCAGTGGTGGATGAGCTGACCTTTTATAGAGTTCGTAGGAAAGAAACACCTCCTCTGCTGACATCTCACCTTTGGATTGACACCACTGTCCACTGTGGCTTGCTTTGTTTTTTTCTTTTTCCCCTTTGTACAGCAGTCTGTTCAGTTTCATTCCAGAAATTTCCACTAGAGGCATTTCTAAGAGGCTTTTCTCAGGGGCGATTCCTTTTTTTAAACAGAGGCAACAAAAGGAAACAGGAAGATGTATTCTTTTAGCCCTTGCACCTGCCTTGGCAGATTTTTTTTTCATCCTAATATACACATAAAGAATATTGGCGAATGCCATGAATAATTTAGGTACCTAAAAAGATAGACGTGGGTACATAATAGTTACACTGGTGATCAAGAACAGTGTTTTAAAAGTCTTTTTTAGTTTATCTTTTCCTTTTTGATGAGAACATTTAAGTTCTGTTCTTCTAGTAAATTCTTAGTGTACAGTACAGCATTATCAACTATAGTCACCATATTTTACATTAGATCCTCAGACCTTATTCATCTTAAAGCTGAAAGTTTGTATCCTTTTATCTCTCCCTATTTCTCCTACCCCCCCAGGCCCTGGCAACCACTGTTTCTATGAGTTTGATGTTTTTTCTTATCTTAAGATTCCTCATGTAAGTGGTATCATGTAGTATTTGTCTTTCTCTGTCTGGCTTATTTCATGTAGCATAATGCCCCTGGGGATCTACCTATATTGTTGCAAATGGCAGGGTTCCCTTCTTTTTTGTGCCACAATAATATTTCTGTGTGTGTGTGTGTGTGAGAGAGAGAGAGAGAGAGAGAGAGATCTTTATCCTTTCGTCCTTTTGTGGAACCTTAGGTTGTTTCTATATCTTGGCTATTGTGAATAATGCCACAATGAACATAGGAGTGCAGATACCTTTGAGATAGTGATTTTATCTCCTTTGGATATATACCTAGAAGTGGGATTGCTGGATCATGGGTAATTCTATATTTAATTTTTGAGGAACCTCCATATTATTTTCTAGAGTGGCTGCACCACTTAACATTCCCACCAATAGTGCACAAGGGTTCCCTTTTTTCCACATCCTCACCAATATTTGTTATCTCTTGTGTTTTTGATGATGACCACTCTAACACAATGAGATAATATCTCATTGTGGTTTCGATTTGCATAAGAACAGTGGTTTTTAAGTATGGATAATCACTCTTCAGAATCTGTTTTATGCTTTTTTTTTGTTTTTAAGTTTATCCCTATTTAGAGGTTATATTTTATAAAACTATTAAAATATTTTGTACAAACACAAAGCCTCAGGTATTTAAAACAGGAATGAAACATTTATACATTTGGAGATGTAGTTTGGGGAAGTGAATTAAGTGAATTTAGGTGAGTGGTAGATAGATGATTTTGAATTTTCCCCCCCTAATTTTAATGTTTTAAGACCAGATAATTCATTTAAATTTTTCAGTCACTACCTGGCTTTAGGTCTTGTTCCCTGCAAACGAAATAAATAGCATAGTGCTTTGCACCTGACCTGGTGCATGGAGGAGTCTCTCTCCCCTGTTATAAGGTCAGCTCAGCACCCACCGTGAGACAGATTGCTTGCTCCATCCATTCCGAAACTACAGCTGCTCCCTTCTAGAATCTCCAATGGATTTCCCTGGCGGAAGTTTTCACGGAAGCCTGATCTTCCCTACGGGTCCACAGGCTCATGGCATCGGGCGGAGCAATGTATAGGCAGGGTGTGTGTGTGTGTAGTGCTTTGGGACTACACCCAGCCGCCATGATTGGGCTGGAAGCCTCTGCAGGTGTGTAGACATCCGGACACGTGGTGAGCTCTGGGTGTGACCTCACCAGTGGAGCTCTGATAAACATTGTCGAACCGATGGAATGGAATCTATTCATTTGTTCTTCCTCATTCAAACCCCTTGGCCAAAAAATTCACTGAAACATTTAAATCGTTTCCTTAATCAGGTTACATATTTCAAAGGATTGGAGAAGTTATTGAAAACACCTCAAATTAATTTTCATTTTGATATTTTAATTGAGGTTTGTATATGATTAAAGCAAGCAAGCAAACAAACAAAAAAATAAAGAAGAGGAAATCTAAAACAAGGCATATCCAAAATCTCTGCGCATTCTTTCTGAAGAATTTGGAATTTACTTTTTTAGTGCCTCAATTTGTTGTCGTTCTTCCACTGAAAACCAATGGCTTTTTACTTTTGAGTTTGAGTTTTTTTGGTTACTTTTTTTTTTTTTTTACAAACATCTTTCTTCTAAAATAATGTGACTATATTATTTCTCTCTTATAAACAGTGTACTTTAAAATAATACTTTGTGTTAGACTTTGCTTCAGTTACATTATAAAAGTAAAAATTGGGAGAGTTAAACCTACTTCATGCTCTTTATGATATATGTGTGGATAGCTCTTACTTATGTTTTCATCCATTCATATTCGCATCAGCCAATACTCACTGAGTGTTCACCACCAGTAACTGAGCATGTAATAAGCAGACCTTGCTATTTGTTACAAAGCTTTAAATTACTTTGTAAATAGTCATCACAGCTAAAATCTTCAATGAACCTTTTATAATAAACACATGAACTGTGTTCTTTTACGTATGTGTTTCCACAAAATTAATGTCTTTTGTTGTTGCTTAATGGGGGAGAAGGAGGTCTTTTTTTTTTATTATTAAATTATGTTAGTCACCATACAGTACTTAATTAGTTTTTGATGTAGTGTTCCATGATTCATTGTGGAGGAGGAAGTCTTTTGATTAAAGTCATTGGAAAATTGTACTGTTTAAATTACACAGGTTTTGCAGTGAGTTAGTTTCAGCTAAGAGTTTAATACATTAACACATATGATCAAGATGTGTAGAAGCATTATTTAAATCAAGAGTTAGCTTTCTAAGAGCTAGGAATATCAGTGCAGTTATTAAACATGATAATTTTTCTTTTCTTCTTTAGCATAATTATTCCTTCTGGATGGACCCAGTTATGTTTAAATGAAACAGTTAAAGTCTCATTAAAATCATTAATATCATTTTTTAACTTTTTGGAAAAATAGCTATGTTATTCCAGTAGTTTTTAGCTAGTATTTGTAGGTTTTTTGAGATTTCAAATTTAAACTAAAATATGATATAGTAAGGCTATTATTAATTTTAATTGAAGTATAATTAACATACAGTGTTATATTAGTTTCAGGTATACAACATAATGATTCGACACTTCTGTTATTATGGGGTTCAGTCATCCAATTTAGAAAAATTCTTGTGAAGATTTCCACATGTTTTTTTCAGGGCAGGAGAATTTCCCAGCTCCTCTGCTGCATTGAGTTTTATGCTCTGGTAGATTATTATAACTTGTAATGTGACCAGAGGAAACCAGGCTGGTATTTCATAGCTATTAATTTTTCTGAATTATACCTGAGGACTAGATACAGATCCTGTTGACTCTTGTTCATATACAAGTCATTTAGAATTTAGAGCCTCTGCTATTCCAGGTTGTTGGATGACAGCATCTCAAATAAATATTTATTAGATTCCCAGTTCCTTATAGCTAATAGGAGGTACATTTTGACCTCTGAGACAGACTCCGCTGAGGGTGTTAATGATTAATATTTAGTATGGCCGGTAATTTGGAAAGTTATTATAAGCACTACATAGCCAGAGGATTTTCAACTCTTTTCCCCCCAACATGGACCGATGTGATACATACAGAATCTGCAGTCTTTGGCAGGGCGAGGGGGTCATTTTGCCCAGACATCTCAGTTAGGGTATATTGCTCTCATTGGTTGAGGAGGATGGCATATAGGAACTGTGGGTGTTTGTGGGTGTTGTGGTTCTAGATACCATACAAAGTTAATTCAGAAAAAAATCATGGCCTCTGTGTTTAAAACCTGTTGTATTTAATGAAATAGTTACAAGTGAAATGATATGGAAAGGAGTAAAGTATTTCCATATTTATGAAGATGACTGTTGAATGCTCCAATCTGGAAAGAACTGGGTTGGCGGTGTATAATGAAGTAGTAGGAAAGGTTCCTCCACTCTGTTGGTTCTCACATTATCCCTCATATACAAATTACCACCGTAACTCTAGTTCACTTGGTCTTTTCAGAACTCCAGAGTCAAACCTCTGTACAGATAGATAGATTATTTATTTATGTATGTATTTATGAATTTATGTATGTATGTATGTATTTCATGGTGCTTATTTTTAAATACAAAGAACTGTAGGTTCTCATGTCTGGAAGAGACCTTGAAAATTGTGTAGGTCATGTTTCTCATGTTTTTTTTTTAAGATTTTATTTATTTATTTGACAGAGAGAGAGATAGCAAGAGCCAGAACACACGCAGGGGGAGCGGGAGAGGGAGAAGCAGGCTTCCCGCTGAGCAGGGAGCCCGATGTGGGGCTCAGTCCCAGGACGCTGGGATCATGACCTGAGCCGAAGGCAGACGCTTAACAACTGAGCCACCCAGGTGCCCCTATGTTTCTCATTTTATAAACAAAAAAGCTGGGGTGTTCATAGATTAATTGTTGGGGCATCTGTTGCCTATAGCAACAATGCAAATATAGAAAGTTGGTCAACTTAATCAACATGTTTGCCTTCTAAATTGGTTTTCAGTAAATTTGCCTGACCCAAGAAAGCTGCCCTGCAAACAGCATCCTGATAAATAAACAAAACTCTCACCAATTGAATTACTGCTTAAGAGGCCAGTAATATAAGTTATATGCCCCATATGTTCTAGTTTCCACCCTGGGGCTAAAGACCTGCTCTTTCAATATCTTCCTTCATTTGCTCCTAATAACACAAAGCTGAAGTAGATGCTCTATGATGTGGCAGTGATCACTGGCCCCAGAATATTCCTCAAACAAGGCACAGTATAATATGGATACATCAAACCAGATGAGGAGATGTATTATTAATTAGTCTTTTGGAACAC